GGGGTTTGGTGACCCCGGCAGGCCGTTCGTGCCTGTTCGAGCCTCGGTAAGCGCGGGAGTACGAGGGGGAGGGTGCGGGGTGCCCTGGGGCGCTGGCAGGCCGAGCCCTGGGTGCCCTGCTTCACCCTGCGCCTCTTCCCCCGGGCGCGGCCGCGGAGCCGTTGTGAGGGGTCATGTTTTAATGCCCCAAGCCCAAAGCGGCTTCTTAATAACAAGAGTTTTCCCTCCCCAGGTTTTATTGCGATTACTGTGACACGTACCTCACCCATGACTCGGTAAGTACTAAACCTTCTGCACTAATTCCTCATCTGTATCAAGTGCGTTAAAATCAAACTTACATAGGCTAAAGCCAGGTGACTTGAAACGTTAACCATGTCCTACTTTGACTTCTTTCCTCTCTGTTTCTTTTCAAAAAAAGAAAGGAGAATGGGAGGAATTGGCGGGTCGCTAGCATTCAGTCAGGGGCAGCCGATGTTCATGGCTGCCTACGAGTGTTGTGGTGAGTTAGTAGGAGACAGCTAGCTGGGTATTAGGGCAACCTCTTTTACTTAAACTGGCGTCTCGACACTTAAATTTTATATGTAAAGGTCTTGCACATCACCCGTCCTCCACCTGGGCACAGAGACCAACCTATTTCATACCGCTAAATTGCATGTGTTTAACGTTACACAACAGCTCCCAGTACGCTTTGGGTTTATGTGATACTGTCTAAGCTTTGGGTTTACGTGTTCTTTTCTCAGCCCTCCGTGAGAAAAACCCACTGCAGTGGCCGAAAACACAAAGAGAATGTGAAAGACTACTATCAAAAATGGATGGAAGAACAAGCTCAGAGCCTGATTGACAAAACAAGTAAGGCCAATCTTTCTGTGACCCTGGACTGCTTTCCCGTTACTCACCCTGTCTTTCCTCTAGCTGCTTTTTTTCCGTTCTTCCACATTGACTTTTCCTTGCTTCCCTGGTGAGTCTTTGCTTAGAATCTTAATCTTGAACTTAGAATCCAAATCTTGAACTCGTCAGCGTGTGGGCTTCCATGTAAGAGGCTGAGGGCTGTGCCCGAGGGGTTGCCGCAAGAAGCATTTACTGCGGTACTGTGGTGGAGAGGGTTGTAGACACCACCGCCTTTCGCCCTGCTCGTAACATCATATGAGGTCACGTAACACATCTTTGCTTTTTGGTCGGCATGTTTCTGTAAAAGAGCACAAATAAGAAATCCAAAAGAGAGGAAAATAGACATTAAAATGTACGGATTTTTGCTTTTTTGTTTTTAAATGCTCTAGTTGGCCTCAATTCTCTAGGAATATTGATTTTTAAATTTTCTCCCCCTCTCTTGCTATTTAGGACTTGAATAAAGTGTGAAGTGTTTCTTTTGTCAGTCTGTAGAGTTCTTTTCCTCTTGCTTGTCCTCTGAATGATGGTTCTTTTCTCTGACAGAAGAAACACAAATGCCAGATTAACTTTGTGGCAACTTCCATTAGATCATAGACTGATAGAATATCTGGAGTTGGAAGGGACCCATAAGGATCATCGAGTCCCTTGAACTCTGATGGGCTTGGTGCTGTGACCACTTCCCTGGAGAGCCAGTTCCAGTGACCGAGCGCCCCTGTGGCCTTTTCCTAATGTCCAGCCTGAACTTCTCCTGACGCGGCTTCATTCCATTTCCTCATGTCCTTTTTCTTGTGATGCTTCCAACTTTCACAACTTTTGCCTTCCTTCTGGCCAATTCCAATCTTTTGAGTTTCTTCTCTTCCCTTTCACATGTTTTTCGTGCTTTTTATCACCTACCTAAGTCACTGCCTCATTACCATTTTCAAGTTGGCATGTCTTTACCCAATGATCCCAGGTGAAAGTTGCAGCTGCGAATCACGTGACGGATTTTCTCTACCATCCGCCTTCCTGTTAGGTGTGTGAAATTCATCAAGGAGCTCTCTAGTCTCAGCTGGAGTAATTACTTTAATAATTGTCTTCCAAGAATATCAGGTGCTTCCTCCGTGACAAGCAGCATAAACCAGGGATTTGTTCCAGAGTTAGAACATCTGAGCGCGCAGCATGACGTGAAGTATGCTCTGACCGTGTGGCATGAGACGGAAGATTGACGCAGCAGCTTCCTCTGCTTAGTAACTGGTTTTTCTCCTGGGATTCTTTCTTTCCTTTTTTTTTTTTTCTTTTCCCCCCCAATGTAGCGGCTGCATTTCAGCAAGGGAAAATCCCACCTACACCGTTCTCGGCACCACCTCCTGCAGGAGCCATGATACCACCTCCTCCCAGCATCCGTAAGTCTGAACTGCACAGTTTTTGACTGGGATGGCAGCAGCTAAGTTGTGTGTTTCCCGGACTCGTAAAGAAAAGTCTTTTGGCTTGAAATCAAGCTGAGACATTTTGAGCTTGTGAATACCAAAATGTAAGGGAATGCTTTGTAAGAGTTTCAGCAACCGTCTTAATCTTTAGTTTGTCTTATTTTAGTAACGTTGAGTATATTAATAGAAACGTGTGCTGCCTCATTACTTGCTAGCTGCCATGTAGATAGCTTCATTAAAACTTCTAGCACGGGGTTTTGTAGTTTTGTTGGTTTTTTATTTTTTTAATAGAGTAGGATTGATAACCACCTTCTGCACTTCAGCTGGCAAATGGCTGAGATCGCTTTCTGTTAAGAGTCCTGCTGTTGGAAGTGGTGGTTATCTGCATTGGGTGTGCAAAGTTGGAAATAGTAGCTAGCATACTCTTTCTCCAGTTCACTTTTTGGCCCCTGAAGTCGGAGTTGAAACTGAAAATGAAGGTGGGCAGTTGCAAAGCAATCTGAGTCCACCTTAATTTACTAAAATACCCTGTAAAGTTTAATAACCGCCTCGCGTTGCACATCGTTGATGAATGTGAAAGCAGGCTGGCATGTAACCAATCTATGTATGTGTTCAGCTGGCCCCCCGCGGCCCGGCATGATGCCGGCCCCTCATATGGGTGGACCACCAATGATGCCGATGATGGGCCCCCCGCCACCAGGAATGATGCCAGTTGGACCCGGTAAGTCTGGAGGCAGGTCAGTCTGTAACTGAGGTACTGCGTGGTCCGGTTTACAGGATGTTTGGGTTATATCTTCTATCTCGCTGAGCAATAGAGTGTTGCAAAAGGAACTCAGTGGAAAATACGAAGCAGCTGCAGTGCTTGGGCGCTGGCTGTAGTGACGCACTTGAGTTCATAGCTTGCCTCACTGCAGACATGGTATTAGATGCAGCATGGGTGGACAGCCCCAAGTGTCAAGCTGTGGAAATATTTCACTTTGTGTATACTATGTATGCACGTTTGCTGATCCATTATCTCTGTGTGGTGAGACATAAACCAGCCTTACAACTGCTGATTAAAGTTCCTTTACTCCCCGTTGAGAGTCCTCACTAGTACAACTGAAATTACTGCTCTGGTTAATTGTAGCTTTTCTATCCGAGTCTTAGCAGTACATTCTTTAATTGCTTAGAAATTCCGTGTTTGTAGTGCTTCCATTTTTGCACAAGGGGTACGTTTCAGCACTAAATGAATTTTACTGTTTAAAATGTCTCAAGATAATGTGTTCCAGAGAAATGACGTGCCTTAAAAAGTGGTTTTTTCAGAACTGTAAAGGCAAACTAAAATGTCTTGATCCATTCTGATTTTGAGCTTACTGGCATTTGAAGAATTCTCAGGGGACGTCTTATTGAAGCAGTTACTGGAACAAATCTAAAGGAATAGGCACATGCGCACTATAAGTAGTGAAATGTCTTTGCAATTATTGTCTTGCTGGTAGAAACTGCTTTTAAGTGTTTTTTTTTAAAGGCACAAAATAGGCACATAATCTGCAGTGTTGGGCAGCATAGTGGCTGCCTGAAAATAAATGGGAGAAGTTGGATGGAAACGCATTATTTCAGTGCTTTTTAGTAGCGCACCTGCTTTTCTGTGGCAATGCCATTACCCAGCTGTAAGAGTACAGCAGGCTTTTTTCGAGCACACTTAACTGGAGGATTTCATGTTTTTTTCCAAATGAACTTTCCAATTCAGTAATTAAGCTAGCGTCTCTCGAGCGGTTGAAAAGAGTTTATTGGTGAATATTGTCCAAAGTGGGCATATAAGCCAGGAACTTCCTCTACTAATTGCTAATATCCTTCAGGGAAATGTGATTCATCTCAGCCAGTTCCAGATCAAAGCTTACAGGCGTGTAAAATGGAAGTTCCCTGGCAGGCGGGAGAGAGAACGTGCGCATGGTGATGATGGGGCTCGGCAATTGCTGCTCCCAAGAGCTCTTCTCTAATGTCCTCTCTCTCCCCCTGCAGCTCCAGGGATGAGGCCACCGATGGGAGGGCACATGCCGATGATGCCAGGGCCCCCGATGATGAGACCACCCTCCAGACCCATGATGGTGCCAACCAGGCCAGGAATGACCCGTCCAGACAGATAAAGGTGGAAATGAAGCTACCTTGTCTTCCTCGTATTACAGTTTTCCATATGATAAAATACCATAGACCGATGTCCCTAGGATTTTGTATTAAAACAGTGTGTAGAGGAAATCCGCTGTTAATTCAGATTGCGGGCGGTTTGACCTAGTGCACACTGGACTGATGCTTTTTTACCTGGAGTGGGTTTTTCAATGGTTTTGTTTGTTTGTTTGTTTTTTCCCCCATTGAATCGTAGAACACAACAATAAAACATTGATGCTGGTTTACATATGGAGAATCTGAGCCTTACTCTGTGTATGGTTTTTCTGCCTGGCAGAAAGAGACATCAGTTTGCTTTCTTCCCTCTCTACCTGTCTTGCACAGAATTTGTCAGGTGGTTTTTTTTTTTTCTCTCTTCTCTACCTGTCTTGCACAGAATTTGTCAGGTGGGTTTTTTTTCTCCGTAGTCCTTAGGTAGTCTCTCTTTTTCATGTTGTACCCTTTGAGAGAGGTATTACCATCTGCATTTTGAATTCTTGTTTCCAAAGAAGTATGCGTGGTTTTAATTAAAAAAAAAAACACAACACAAAAAAACCCAGAAAAGGTGACATCAGAAAAGACTGCAGTGATATCTCTGACGGGAGTCTGCAATGTTAGGTGACTTTGCTAGGACAAAATAGATTGAATTTAATAAAATGTTGATTCTCCACTGAGGGAAACAAAGGGATGCTGTTAAAAGGCTCCTTCTTGCAGTAATTGTTTTGATGCTGCCGAACGTATTTCTGCTGTTCTATTGCTGTTCGGGCATTTGTGTGGACGCATTTAATTACGTTATTGCAGTTGTTAGGTCAGTAGTTATTAACGCTTCTTAGCATAAAGGGATGTGTTGTTGAAGACATATCCCAGGCCCTGTAGTTTATTCAAAGGATTTTGCTCTTGATGAGCTGTACGCAACGCAGGTGCACAATTCCAATTGAATTAAAGGAATTTATTCTGTCTGCGTGACCATTGTCATCCATTCCAGCCTGCAGAACCGTCCAACTCCTCCTTGGCACATTTGCATCCAATACAAAAGCGTGGGAGCGATTTGCATCTTAGAAGAAAGTGTTTGGTTAGCAGGACTGCGAGGGCTCCTTTTCCCAGTTGCTCTCTGCTATGGCACAGGACGGCCCAGTTGTTTAGAGGAGATTATATTTTCAGGAGCTTGTGTGCTTTCAACACTCTCCTGTAAAGAATGTGCTGTAGCTGAGGCATCAAATATTTAATAGCTGGGTTTTTTTTTTTACAATGAGGGTGGTAAAACACTGGAACAGGTTGCCCAGAGAGGTAGTGGAGGCCCCATCCCTGGGAACATTCAAGGCCAGGTTGGATGGGGCTCTGAGCAACCTGATCTAGTTAGCGGTGTCCCTGCTCACTGCAGGGGGGTTGGACTAGATGACCTCTAGGGGTCCCTTCCAACCCTAAACATTCTATGATTCTATGATATTTAATAGCTGTGTTCAGCAAACAGGCAGAAGTTAGAGGGTGTTTCTACAGTAAACCCCACCAGGAGTAGACATCTGCAGCGCTCGGGCTGGACAGGCATGGGCGTGCTGCAGCACCAGTGCAGGGGATCTTGAGTTTCCTGGGTCTGACAGCGAAGGGATCGTGGTGCGACTTCACCAAGTAGATTGCAAGGAGCCGAAATAGTTGTGCCACTGCGTAGCTTGGTGGGTGGATGTGCCGGCTGGGGATGTGTCTCCCCGATGCATAATCTGAGCACTTTTCAGCTTTACGTTGAAGCTGGGTTGCTTTTATATCAAACATACAACACACATCATTGATGCCTATTAATGACTTTCACCTGGGGGAAAAAATAGGCAGGAATTAACAATGATTAGCACTGGGCTTTGATAAAAGTTCATGGCTTGTAGGCCACTTGTCTTCCCCCTGACTGCTGTCAGGTTAAACCAGAATGTACTCAGGAAGGTGTTTTTCTTGCCACGGAGCTGTTGAAGGTGTGACCTGTCAGCGTAAGGCTCCAGCAGGTAATGCCACACTTGCAGAACGACGGAACCCTTCTTGGGGGGGGGGGACACACACGTTCTCTTTGCTGAGCGCAGCCTTGCAAGCAAAGCGCTCCCCCATCAGCCCAGCTGGAATCTTGCACAGTTTGTATCACCCATCAGAGAGTTACAATGCAAATACAGCTCAAGGAGCACAGAAACGGCTTGAAACTAAGATGATTTTTTTTATTCCAAGCAGGTTACATTATTTTACGTTGAACGTTTTATTTTTGTAGTGTGAGTGCCTCTCTTAAAAACAAAACCAAACCAACTTATTTTTGGCCGGCTTAAAAAAACTTTTTGGCAGAGTGTGGAAGGGAGCTATACAATGAAGAGGTGTGAAACTGAGCGTGTCTGCGGATTTTTGCCTGCAGCTCCGAGGGCGTGACCAAGCGGCGCTGTTTCACGGGGAAAACACGGCTCGGTACAAGCCGCCCGGCGCCGCTTGCGGGCTTCCCCGTGGGGCTTCTTTAGC